ACGTACGGGGAGAAGGCGAAGGCAGTTCGCTGCTCGCCTGATCCCCTAGTGAGACCAGCGGGCTCTGGACAGGGACTCCGGAGCCTGCATTGCACGGCCTCACTCGTCTGGGGGGCGGGTCGGAGGACAACCGACTCGCCCCTCCGTTGGCGCGGGAGCCCTGGCGCAAGCTAGGGCGGCCGGGCGGCGGGCGTCGTGGTGAATGTTCACCGATCCCACGGCGCCGACTCAACCGGCGAGAGAGAAACCCGGGGGGGTTTTAGTGGGGTAGGCCCTCCAGTCTGAAGGGAGAGTCCCCACATAACCCCTGAGTCTCCCTGGGCTCAGGGGTATCCATAAAGATTTCCCCCCGTCAAAAAAAATGGTTTTTCTCCGGCTCAAGCATAAAATGTGGTAACTTGAGTTGACGATGATAATAATAAAGATGATTAACAAACGGCAGCTATACTTTCAATATTCGTTTAATAGGCTAGTGGAGTTCCTTTTTAAATTAAACGTCCTGGGAAGTACTGCCACCATTCCTATTTCTGCCGGCAAGCAGTAATGTCAGCATCAGCAACGCTCTGATTGGCACTGCAGATTGCTATGGTGAGTCGTGTCGATTTGCCACCAGACCGACTTGATCCCGTCACTTGGCATGATAAATAAATATCAAATTCTAAGCAAAGCCGTAGACTAAAGCAGGTATGTCTATAATAACAGTGCAAGCACGAAACCTCCTTCTACATTATTTATTCAAGCGACAAGGCAAAGGGTTGGACTGTGCTAGCATTATCTATGTAAATCACAGCTAATCATTGCCATTAAAATGGAGTACGAATGTTTATTGTTTGATAGCAGGAGTCAGAATGTACTGAACTAGTGGGTCAACTTCTAAATTGTGGGGACTGGTCAATGAGTTTTAGGCATGATCACCGGAGATTTGTTTGCGTTGTTGACTGTGAGCTGTAAATACTCAAATACATTTAAGGGGTAATGTTTAAACGCTATAATAAAATTGTGGTTGATATTCAAAATTACAGTTAAACAAAAACTTTATACTAAAGCTTCTGCGTAGTTAGACAAAAATCCGTGGTAATGATTTGTTTAGCTCCTGGAGGTACTCCGATCTATGGTGTTTGAAACCGATATAAATGTTTATTTAGAAAGAGCGACTACTAGAGTTTCTTGCTCATTCTTCTCAAAGAAATCTGCCTTGATGAGCGGTAGAGTTTAATCAAAATAACGATTTCAAGTATAATTTGCTTATCTTTGAAATAAAGATTATTTTCTTGAGACATTGTAAAATGATGGACGCCAAGAATCGAATGGTTTGGTACACTTATGCACCGTAATATATAATAAATACATTACACCCATAGCGTAATAAGGCCACATCTGCAAAATGTCAACTTTCAGGTTTAAAGAAGAGTTTCATAAGTAACAGTAGAGCACCTTGTGGAAGAGTTCGTCCAGGGAATCTTTCATATCAAGCGCGAGGTCTCAAAATTTACAACGCACCTTGATCTTTAGTTTTAACTTTGGTACACTCAACTTAAGGTTGACTATATGGTACAGGAGTGCGGAATCGTGACTAATGTAATTCAAAAAATGAACTTGAGCTCAAATATCGAACATATACTTTATATATCTGCGGCACGGAGGTCCGTGCCTGGGGCCGCCTCTGCCAGATTATGATCGGCCCGCACTTGTTACTCTCCCACAAACATGACAGGGTCGAACTAAGTATACCGCGTTGGGTAAATACAACAATAATAAATCGTCATTACTTAGACTGTCGTTTGTCGTTTATTCCTTTGAATTTTAACAGCGATGCAAACGTGCGTTCGTGAAACGCGAGATTGCATCGCTACCCTTGCGATTTATAGGCGATTGCGTCGATACAAACATATAATTGCATCGATACAAACGTGCGTTGGTATCGATGCAGTCGCGCATTTGCTTTGCTGCTTCAATCCGCGCGTTCGTCGACCTTAAACGTAGACTATTAGCGACTGCATCGCTAGTTTTGGAATGATGCCACTTTATTATCGAATGTGGTACATATTAATTTGTTCTGAGTACATTCCTGCACTTTTTTGTCTACTGTGTATTTCTCACAAAGGGTGATATCATGTATGTTTTTGGGTTTGTACGTATTTGTTGGATACTTTGTTTTATCAGAGTTATGTGGGCACTTAATACATCGCACTCGTAATTATCTACCTACGTAGTTGCCTGGAAGTAACACCGAGTTTTGCGTACGAAATTGAACTTTAAATCATCAGTACTTCGTTGTTTCATTTGTTTTTTAATTATTGTTTTTGTTTCCTCTTGTCTGTTGTTGTGTATTTATCTTTTGGGTTTCCATTTACTCCCTTAAAGATAATAAGATTTAATATGATATGGTTGTCTATTACCTACATAGTTAACGACCTCCAACTAACTGCCTCTGTGGCCGAACGGTTACCATTCCGGACTGCCACGCAGAGGTCCCAGGTTCGATTCCCGGCCAGGAGAAATATTTGTATGGCCTACATTTATTTCTCTCGTGAGTTTGGGTGTAATTTGTGGTTGTGCGTGTTCCCTAATGCGGGGCTATGTCGAGTGTATGCGTTACTTACTAACTTAGTCGTATAATGTGACCATTATTTTTTTCCTAGAAAGCGGGACGCCTGTAAATTTATTATTGTTATAAAAATAAAAAACTTTTTAATGATTAAAAAATAAACAAAAAGGAACTAAAAAATTTTAACCATCGAAAATTTTAAAAAAGAATAATCATGTGTAGTCTGACTTTATATATTTTTCGGATAAACAAATTTGTTTTAATGTCAGGTTTAGTTCTTAAATATGAATGTAACCATTGGCATGATTTTTAAATTTATATGTCACGTTATGTCAAAGCACGAAGGCACGAAGCTTAAAAGTGGGACTGTCCCGCTCAAAGCGGGACGTATGGTCCCGTTACTACTACACCAATTTATATGGTCTCAAAATATGTATTGCTTCTTAGTTCTACGTCTATACCATAAAATGTATAAAGAAATCGATATACATACATTAAACAAAAGCGGAATACCTTCTCAGGCTAACCTACGACGAAACCAAGAACTTATAAAGTTTTATACTCTAAGTTTTACTAGTAATGCCTTACCTATTTTTACTGCCAAGCAGTAATGTCAGCATTACTGTGTTACCGTTTTGATACGTAAGGGTGCTGGCGAAATTGCTGGCACATGGGACTTGTCAACTTATGTCTCACGGTGACGGGCGGAGTGGTAGTGCTCCTCAGATCTTTGTGATTTAAAACTCTGATTGGTACTGCAACTGTTATAAACAGGCGTGTCGCTTACAATCAGGCGCACGACTTGTTCGTCCCATCCATTGACTTACAAATAAATGGACGACGGGTCTAATAGAAAAACCACGAAAAAAATGTCCCAAGTCAACCTATTTAAACGTAGTGACATGTAAAGGAATATAAAAAAGCTAAAACGTTGAATTTAAATTGTAATGTCATCGCAGTACTGTCTAATTTTGCTTACTTCGCTGTCAGTCGAACAAACGAAGACTTAAGCGTGAATGACGCTCTGTATACGATTTTAACGCCCTATAAGTTCGGACACTTTTTAGCGCGGATCCGACGTCCATATATTTGTAAGTCAATGGCCCCATCACTTAGTTATTATGGCCCATCAAATCCGAAACGATCCAAATCTAGAAAATTCGGGCCCACTTCGGATGTCGCTTGTGCTCAAAGTCCGATTCCAATCCGATAAAATACGAATATCGCTTGTACACCTAGAGATAAAATGATCCCTCTGACATTTCGGACCGTCATTTCTCTGATTCGGAACTGACACGAATCGGACATGGTCACCTGTGACTATGGGGCCTGGAAAGAACCCGAAATGTTGGCTTGTTTGAAAAAACAAATATACGCGATTTAGACCCGAAAAAATAGTTTCATTTCCTATTGTAACAATCGCGAAAACAACTCGACAATGTTAATTTAGTTTTTTAGTTAATTCATAAGTTGGAGCACCTATATATGAATATATCTCATATATAGGTGCTCCAACTTACGAATTAGCTAAAAAAACTGAATAACATTATTCGGGAAAAGTCTTCTTTCAAACCGAACTTTTGTTTAAAGAATAGTTTAGATTTAATACAAAGGATCAAAGACTTTAAGATACCACATAACGCAAAATTAATTTCTCTGGATGTAGACAGCTTGTTCATTAACGTTCCCTACACTGACACTTTAAACATTCTTAAAGATCACTTAGAAAGGCGACGGCAGGGGAAGTTGATAGAATTGACATATCTTTGCATGAAATAAAGCTACTTTAGGTTTAACGGACAATATTTCAACAATGTTAATGTCAAATTCGTCTGTAAGAATATTATGAAATATACAAATTTATTATTATTAATTCCCTGTACTATGTTATATACTAAAGCAAGGGAGTATTATTCAGAATACCCAGACAAGAGCTATTTTAGAAAAGTTGCATATTACATTAGGCCACCGAAGTGTCAAAGTTATTCAGTCAAGGAAAAATAATCTTTATTTCATATAGGTAAGCAAATTACACTTCAAATCTGATTAAACTCTGTAGCTCATTCGTAAGGCAGATTCTCCTGTGAAGAATGAGCAAGAAACTTATCATTACAATATTTAATTTAAACATCTTAGATCGAGACTACCTGCAACAGCTTAACTGGTCACCACCACGGATTTTTGTCATCCAAGTACAGTACAGTACATCCAGAAGTTTTAGTTTTTATTTAACTATAGTTTCGTAAATGGCAAATTTTTAATATCAATCGGAATATCATTGTAGAAGCGCATACATTAGCGTTTAAATGAATTTGAGACTCTGTTAAGACTATCAAAAACAGCTAGTTCATTTTGTTAGTGGAACGTCTGTCAGTACGTTTCATAAAAAAAAAAATTTCATAAATGTACTGCGACGTTAGTGTAAGAATGTTAATCATCATCAAACACTTACATTTCCTCCTCTCAGTGGTGGTTGGTTGATTGTAGTCTTTGTCTGGCACTTCTTCTTTCACTTTGGCCTCCATCTGTAACAAGACGGAACTTATTTAAGACAACAAGAACTGTAAAATAGCAACAACAACAAAAATAATAACAACAAGCGTTGTTGAAACTTACAATTAACTCATAATGTTAACGCAATTTAGTTTAAAAATTGCGTTTACGAAAGTAACAGGTATTAAGTTAAATTAACATATAATGTATAATATGCGCATATATATGTTATTTATTTTATGCGGAGGAGGGTTTGAAAAATTAACAGCATGAAAAAAATTAAATAGCACAGATACATTTTCACATATTTTTTTCTCAAGTATAATTTTTTTCACCTCACTAGCTCGGAAAGGCCTTCTTTCTCATTTCAAATTTGAGCGCAAAACGTTTTTGAAATTCGAACTTGACTGTGGTGCACCTACATTTTTTTTTTGATGAAAAAAAAGATAATGACACTTTCAACTACTCGATTTGTATTACTTAATTACGTAATACAAATCCGTTGGTACATTTTATTCTTAATATTGTTGTATTATTCTTATTAAATTGACAATAACAACCAATTGCGTTTATTAAATTATTTTAATTCACTGAAATCATTTCAATAATCACGTAATCACTCAAAATTATAAGTAGGTACAAGCAAAAATAAAAATTGATAAGGTGCAAATGCTGAACACATCCGAAGATAACATTTTTCATTCAATTAAAAAAAGTAATGATTTTATAGTTCATCTGTTTTACTTTTATCTATCATTCTCCTCGCTCTATAGTGAGGTGAATAGTTGTGTGTTTCTCTCGGCAGCAAAGTTGTTTTGCGTCTTGTCCTTGAAACCCTCGCTACGCTCAGGGCACACCGCGGACACTCCATACAATAATCGAAAGTTAGTTACCTACTACTACTACATACAGCACGGCGCTAATTGCAGTCGCGCAAATGTGTGCGTAAAGTGGCAGGGTTACCCATTGACTTACAATTATATGGACGTCGGGTCCGCGCTAAAAAGTGTCCGCACTTGTAAGGCGCTAAAATCGTATACAGAGCGCGACACTCCGCTTTAGTCTTCATTTGTTCTATTGACAGCGCGATACTGCGATGACATTACAATTTAAATTTCGAATAGGTTGACTTGGGACATTTTTTTCGTGGTTTTTGTATTAGACCCGTCGTCCATTTATTTGTAAGTCAATGGGGTTACCCATCATTTTATCGCACTATTACGTTACGTGGTCAGAGCGACAACATACCGAAAATTCTCTCTATATCCCATTAATGATAAACAACCGTACACAGCACAATTCACGACCATTATAAATAGTAACCTACAATGATGTTATATATTAACGTACAAGTTTCGTGACGAATAAATGAAAACTATATTCAAATATCACAGCCGTCTTAGCGCGAAAACGGCTCGCCGTGGTGCGGTATCTATGCTAGGGAGGGGCGAAGAGTATCCCTTCTCGTTACTTTTTTGTTCTCTGCTCAGGGTTCTATTTTTTCTTAATCTTAAGTGCCTTCGTTTCCTCAGGTTTCAAGCACTCGTGTCAAACAACAACTTTACAACTTTGTTTAGCTTTTATTATGATATCTAGCAACGGACGAAGCGACAAGTCTGTCCATAACATCATGGCGGTATATCACATGCGATATGAGCTAAACCTCCCCGTGACACATTTACTGTCGTCGATAAAGCTACGTTGTCATTATTAATTTTTTTTATTACGAGTACAGTATCTGTAAGATACCGCACCAGCGTTATGCGTTCTTTTGTTTATTTGATAATGAACGATTGTTATACATTTTGAAGAACAAGAATAGCGATATTAAATTGCGTATACAGCTTGTCTTTGTCATTTAAACATCGCCGCGAAAATTGTAACTTTTAACTGCATCCTTGTAAAACGAGGAAACAAGAAATGGCGGGTTTTTGTAGAAGACTGTTTTTAAGATATTATTTACGTATTTCAAATTACTCTCTGGTATAGAGCTATAATCTGCCGTCCACTAACTAAAACGCGGCAAGGTCAAGCACATATTTTAAATGGCAAAAGATAGAGCACAAAATTCTCTCTTAAAAACAGTTAAAATTAGTTAACGTGTTCGATTTAGCGTTAAACAATTTCAATGTTCAAAACTGGGTTATTGTTTTTTTATATTAACCGCCTTTTAGTTAGCGGACGACGGTAATGTTCTCCTCGCTTTTTCCAATAATTAATATGCAAGAACCTGTTACTTTTTATTGTTTTTTGTGTGTTTCGTTTGTCGAGCTCAATTTTTAAGTCGATAAAATTACCGTGCAGAACTGTCTAAATGTTTCAAAATCAGCTGTGACTTCACGGCCATGTTTAACAGTGCGATATCCTTTTGCGGCCTTTGGCTTAGACGCGTCAAAAATGTGACGTCGCGGTGCACGCCATATTCGCTATTGTGATAAAATTTAAAAACAGCAGTTTTATCACTCGAATTTGACAGCTAAATGTACATATAACAGGTATATCGCAGCGGCATACTACGGGCACAGTTGCACTTGATAATCATAGCTTTAAATCGCCTGAGACATAAGTCGACAAGTGACATGTACCTGTAATTTCTCCAGCACCCTTACCCTTCAAAACGGAAACGCAGTAATGTGAGCATTACTGCTTGGAGGCAAAAATAGAAGGTGGCAGGACTTCACTGGACGAGCTCATTCACAAGGAGCTCTATTACTAATAAAACCTGTTTTTTGTACACTCCCAACAACCCACCCACAAAAACCTTGCAAATACAATAAGTAAAAATCAGATTCATTCAACTTTGCTGGGATTAGGAAGAAGAATTGATGGTATGTGAATTAGATACGGTACCTAAACCTGTGTTTTCTTATTTAAAAGCTCTGGGCGGTGAAGCAATTGCCTCTGTTCAGCGTCCTAAGTTTGAGTTCCTGATGCGACACGACTTTATTAAGTGATTTGGTTAAAACTGAAAAAATAAGAATGGAACCAGGCAAAGTGACGGATAATGTCTATCACGAATTCGCCCACAACTTTAGACAGGCCTACATTCCGTTTCACGTACGCATACCGGGCATTCCGGGCCGTGAATGAAAAGTAACAGATCCCACTTCGGTTGATGTTGTGATGATTGCCATAACGTGTTGCATATAGATCTTAATTCTAGAATACCAACAACCTAGACCGTAAACGGATAGTATTTCAAGGCAGAAACAGTTGTTACGCTTCACGTACTCCTGACGTAAATCACGCTGCGCGTAGGCGGACTAAACTAATGCTTTTAGATCCTGGAGGTCAAATTTGACGGGACAAACAAGTCGTGCGCCTGGAGGCAAGCGACACGTCTATCTAGAACAATTGCAGTGCCAATAAGAGCTTTAGATCTCAAAGGCTTTAGGAGCACTGCTACTGCGCCCGTCAGCCTGATACATACGAGTAAGTTGACAAATCGCATGGGCATGTAATTTCACCAACACCCTTAGCCTTCCAAACTGGAGAACAGTAAGGCTCACATTACTGCTTGGCGGCAGAAATAGATAAGGTGGCAGTACTTCCCTGGACGAACTCTTACACAAGGAGCTCCAATGCTTCTTTTTGTTTTTACTTTGTTATAATTTTTTAATACAAAGATCGAACACAATGAAAAATTCCTTTCACCTTACAGATTTCAAACTTGTGTTTTTTCTAAATCCTGATCGGTTCTTTTACCTTTTTATTTTAGATCAATGCCAAAGACAAAGAATCATTTATTCCGTAAGTAATATAAATTTTACACTTGAAAATGTCACATTTATGCTCGTTCACTACGCTGACCTCCCTGAGAAGAACGAGCAAGAAACTCTAGGGAATGCTCTTTTCAAATAAACTTAAACGCTATGGAATACACTTTGAATCAAATTTGTGTGGATTCTGGAGCCATGTCGTCTTTCCATACATCTTTATCTAACACGTAATCTTCAATTTTGTAATATGTCTTTTCGATCAAAATATTTTTAACGTAGTTTTTAAACTTAGGAATAAACTTAATATATGCTCCGGAATCTTATTATAAAAACGTATACCTTGGTTAAACGAAATCGTGGTACCATGAGTTTGGACTTAGCTCTAAGGTTAATATTATGGATATCTTCTTTCTTGTTGAAATTATATATATTTTTACCGGCATATAAAACATTTGAGTAAATGTACTGTGACCGACGGTACCTAAACGGTACACAGAACGAATCGCTCGTTATTGCAATACAAATATGGTTTGAATATCTGCCGCTTTACCCAATCGAATCTAAAGATCGAATTTGAAAGTAATAAATTTGTGGATTGTAATTTTTTTCATTCATTTGTTTTAACTTCCTACAACAGTGGTTTGAAGTGGATTTTGCTTTAGTTTCGTTTTCCTTCATCGAAAAGCTCATGGTAAGTTTCGGGCTAAATTTGACACAGAAATTCCGAAAAAAATCAGAGGTGCAATCTCGGATTCTAACACACGACAAACCAACAAATTAGGCTACTATTTTGTAAGTTTATTTGAAACAGTTATTTCTTTATTAAAAATTGATTTATTCAATGTTTAGCTGTTACAGTCGTTAAATTTTCAGCCAGCTGCTTTGCCATAAAATCGAAAAAAATGCATTTTGTTTAAATTTGTCAATGTTGATAGATGCCAATTTAAGGTAAGGTTAGCGACACACCTGTCAATAACAGTTGCAATGCTACTCGGAACTTTAAATCGCAAAGACCTGAGGGATACTGCACCTGTCACCCTGAGACATAAGTTGACAAGTCCCATGTCCCAGGCACTGCGAAACGGTGTGATGTTTTCCACCAAAGCTGTGCAAGGTACCTAGGCGGTGAGAGGATGTGTTACGGACTCTTTTCAGCTATGCGCGTGCTGGGTACGGTGTGGTGGGATGAGCGGTGGCGACGTATAATTGTCAGTTAGTGTCACACTTTCAGTAGCTCTAGTTTCCTACACCGTTTTGCATACATTCCTCGTACACATCTATCGCTATTTTGTATGTAACAAATACTTAGCTTA